TAAAACAGCTTTTAACTCGTTATTTATTGTTAATTGAACATGAGACTTTATCAGGATAAAAACTAAATTGACTCCTACAGCCATGGGAGCCGTAGGAGTTTAAAAAATTAAAGCTGATTCTTAGCTATCGCTAACGCTAATCTTACTCAAGGTCATATGTTTACCATGAGTTTCCATTGAATACGGTTAGGTGTAATTTGATTGATTTTTATCAAAAAGTAGTTACACTATTCATCGTTTTAACTACTTTTTGATATTGGCCCAAACTGTAAAATTTTCCTTTTTTGAAATTAAAATTAATTTCGGCCAAAATTATATATAATGCGGGCCAAAATTTTGCCGATCAGAGCATTGGCCAATCGAAATCGAGGATCTGCACATCACGTGCAACACAAATTATTAATCAACCAAATCAAGCACGTTCAAAACTTCTTTTATTTTACTTTAGTTTTTATTTTTGGTTTTACAGTAATTAATTCAAAAATTGCTTTAAAATTATCAAATGGAAATTTAGATTATTTGTTGAATAAATTTAAAGAGATCATTTCAACAGATGAATTCGAAATGTTAGTCTTTTTGTTATTCATCTTACAGATGTTGTATTATTACGGATTCAATTCTGAAAAATATTATGAACAATTAGAAAAAATGGATAAACAGATCGGTGAAATTTTATCTATTTTAGATAGAAAAGGATGGTTAGAAGGTTGTTTGTTGATACTCACAACTGATCATGGTGGTGTTGATACAACGCATGGTAAAGATTCCGATTTAGAACGAAATGTATTCATAATAATAAGGACCAGGTATCAAAAAGAATTCTATGTTTGGTAATAACTTTACTAGAAATTTAGATTGTACTTCCATAATTTTACATGCATTGCAATGTAATATTCCGAGTTATTTGGATTCTCAATTATCAATATGTAGTTTGGAATATTGAAGATCAATTTTTATTATGAACTCTTCTGAATCTATAATTATTAATATGATTAATATTAAAATAAAATTTTTAATTAGTAAATTGAAAATTTATTAATTAATAACTTTACAATCCTTTTTCATTCAAGCAAACATGTAAATTTTATACTTAGAAAACTAATTATGAATTAATAATTGTGGCAGATTCAGATTAAAATGAAATTTTGTATAGTGTAAATAGACAAGCCACCAAAAATACAAAATTTTGGGTGCATTTTTTTAGCTTCTTTTTAGCAGAATAGGCAGATGATAATGATATTAATATTCTAGGGCTTGTGGAAACCAATATTACAGACAAAGTAGATTCCAGATAAGAAATTGGACAAAATGCAGAAGCTTTTGGGCAAGTGCCAGCCCAGAAAAAAAAGAAGGGCTCGGGAGCAGTCAAAAAAAGCAATTATTTACTTCATAAAATAAAAAATAAACAGATAATTTGATAATTTGTTGTTGAGCTTTCCAATATCCTACTGCTTTAAAGTTCAGATGCGAAATCTCGGGGTGTAATTTCGAATTATCAGGGTTTTATATCTGCTCGTCTTGTGGTAAGTTAATCCTATCCAAATCGTCACAGACCTTTTGAATGGTAGGACGTAGGTCTGGATTTTTATCCCAAGCTTCGACGTAAAGGTTTCTAAAGGCATCTGGAGTTCCATCAATTGGTTCCTCTCGTCTACCTAAGCCTACCCATAGGACTATCTCTGTAACTTTCATATTGTTAAAAGGAGGTTTACCACTTGACAGTTCCCAAAAAAGGACACCAAGACTATAAATATCCGATGGTTCTTTTCGGTTATAATTGTTTTCATCATTGATATATTGTGGATCAGAATAAGCAGGCATTCCACCTTTAACAGAAAGAGAGTTGCTTTCTGATGATTTAGACAAACCAAAATCCGCAATCATCAATATACCGTCATGTACCAACACATTCTTATCGTGCTATTTGAAAAAATGATTTTAGACCCTGAGTATTCATATGCATGCAATAAAAGGAAGCAAAAGAATCAAATGATATAAAACCCTTACAAGATCACGATGTACAATCTTCATACTATGCAAATAATTAACCCCACCTGCAATTTCCTTTGCCATTCTAATTTTATCTGACCATTTCAATTTAGGAGAATGCACATTCAAATAATCTCGTAGGTTTCCATTGTTTGCGAGTTGAAAAACCATACAGTATTCCTCTCTTATAGGATCTAATTTATATAAGATTATTCCTTAAATGAATATTTAATAAAGTTTATTTATCCAACGCACAAAGTTAACATGCCTTGAGTAATTCCAAAGAATCGGATTATATTTTTATGATCAAGTGGAGTAACGATTTTAATCTTTTAATAAATGTAATCAGTAATTATCATTCGGGATATTCAAGGTGCTTAAAATGAATTTGGGTTAAAATCCTGAAAAACAGATTCCCGAAAGAACATAATACCGACAAAGTTAGCCGGCACTAGTTATAATGCTGGCCGATTTAGTCAGTGTTATGTTCTTTCGGGAATCTGTTTTTCAGGATTTTGACCCAAAATCGCTTAAAATGATTCGTACCTCTCGAATAAATCCATTAAATAAATTTTCATCAAAGTCAATAGGATCATTATGAAAAACCTTTAATGCAACAAATTCTTTCATATATTTTGAATAAACTTTAAATACTCTTCCAAATGATCCATTACCAATCTCACCCTTTATCTCAAAATCATAATATAATAATTTAATATTTTGTTTTATATAATCTCTTTTATTTAAAGACGTGTTAGAATTCATTTGAGAATACATACATCGATATAATTTTAAAAATCATTTCAAGTGGTTCAAATCAGACCGACGAATTTACTTATTTTCGCGAGTAACACAAACCAAAAAGGAAATATTAGGAATATCGATATTCATTGAAGGACATTCGTCTGATTGGTTGATGCAAATCAATTGCCCAACTAACTTATTTATACACTTTAAAGTACTTTTGAAGAAAGTACGTTTCGCTAAGAGAAAATCCTCAAACTAACGTCAATATTCACTGTACAAAGATAAACTTTAAAAAATTAAGATCTTTCTCCTGACCGACTTACTTAGAAGACAAAATATACTACCGTCTATTGGACCGCGCGTAATTATACTGTAAAGTGAAGGTAACTGGAAATGATTCGTCTAATATTTTTTTGTTACGTTAGATTTAAAGAATTAACTGTTTAATTTGAATAGATACAAGCTCTTTAGTAGAAGTCTCGGTTCTTGTAGTGTTTTTGATTTGTCGACCGTAAATTAAAGTTTTAGTTTATATTTTGTAGATTCTTTAATAAGTTTATGAGTAATAAACATCACATTTGCTCACTTTATACATATCTATCTATTCTCTAAATATATGTGATAAATTTTTTTTGCGTGTATTTATTAATTTGCAAGCTTCTACATGAAGTTTCTTTCGTTTTCTAGTAGTATTAACGATAAAAATTATGATAAAAATAAGAAGTACAATACGACCTAACTTTTCTAGCTACTGTTTCTATAATCAGCAACAGCACAAAATTAGCTTTGAATACGGTCATACTACATATCCTTCATTAATTGCCCTTTATTAAATTATACATTCAAATAAAAATCCTATTTTTAATTATTATTGACTTTGCCAGGGATGCTACTACAAAGATATATTATCAATTAACTTAAATACATATCTCTAAAATCACTACTTGTATTTGTATCCGTCAAAGGAAAAATTCAAAGAAATTTCACTCTTTAACATAAATCCTTAAATAATAATCTTATTTTCAGCGGGTCCGTATTATTTCACCGACATCACACCAGGCAATAATTTACTAAAAATATATACCAGTAAATAATAAAATGCTAATCCTAACCCTATGTGATGTCGGTCAAATGAGCTGTAGAAATTTCGAATTTGATGTTAAATTTGTCGCAAAGAAGTAAACGGCACCGCAAATGTCGATACGTTGGGGTGTCCAGTGTACTATGTAGATCAAATCTATATGTAGTCCTATCGCTATCGCTATATGAAAATCAATTAGTAAAAATTTTTCATGTAATATTCATAATAAACTACTGCGGCAACAGTATAGCTACGATAAAATTTCAGTCTTTTATTATTTTTCGAGCTATACTGTTGCCGCAGTAGTTTATTATGAATATTACATGAAAAATTTTTACTAATTGATTTTCATATAGCGATAGCGATAGGACTACATATAGATTTGATCTACATAGTACACTGGACACCCTATACCAGGAACGTAGTAGAACGTAGTGTATGGTTCCACTCGAGTTTTGCGTTCGTACGCAAAATCTTGATTCTGATTGGACGTAGTAATCGTATGATAAAATTTTATGTCTGATCTTTGCTTTTTGGGGAAGTCCATTAAAACCAGGTTAACCTACATATCGCATAAATTGTATTCTTGATATTTATATATAAATAGTAATACTAACTGATCCAAAAAGTAACTCTAACCTGGCTCTGTCGGTTCTGCCACAAAATCTCGACATCAGAATAAAGATTAGTAATTACATTACCTTAAATTTTAATTGTCTATGATTTTAATTATATTATCGAGTTTACAATCAAAATCAAATTGGTAAATTACAACGTAATAATATTATTCCATTTCATGATAGTATGCACGAATGATTCCTTCATTTTTTTTTTATATTGATGTCCGATAAAAAAAACCTTATCGTTATGATATACTAATTGTTCAAGATCTACGTTCCTG